AATTCAGAAAGCGGCAAGTCTAAAGTTGAGCGCATGATGAACCGCAAGATTCTGAAGACGACTGCCCGAGTTCCTATGCTTCAGCCTGAGGATCAGACTGATCAGCTTCATTGGGCCCAATGGTGGTCTCAGCTCCAGCAGCAGAAGAAGCAGGCTTTGCACTTTGCCGAGCCTCCCTTTCCCTCTGCTCAGCCTCCAACTCCATCCTCTCAGCTTCTTCCTCGGCTTCCTCAGCCTTAAGGATTTCAGCTTCGATTGGAGTGGCATACTTCATGTGAGGGTCTTCGGGATCTTGGACCCATTCAGCACATTTGGACCAGTCCAGCTTCGGCTCAGCATGAAGGCAGACCCTTCGGCACACTCTGAACCCGTTTCTAAAACCCATTTCATACTCTTCTTGGGTATAGATACGGACTTTGAGTAGAGCCTCAGCATCGGCCAACTTCTTCTTCGTCTCCTCCAAGTCTTCCTCGGATCTCTTCAGCTCATCGACGAGCTTGGAGGAGGAGCCTTTCAGCTCGGTAAACTCTTGCTGAACCTGGGAAGCCTCGGCCTGAACTTGGACCATTTCTTCCTTCTTGGCAGTGAGCTGATCCTCAGCCTCTTGTAGCTTAGCTCTTTGAGCTTCAGCAGCAGCAGCAGCCCTTGAGAGTTGGACATCCCTAGCTTGGAGCATCTCTTCAGCAGCCATTCTGCTGGCTTCAAGAGATTCTAGCTGATGCTGCACTTCAGCCTGTGCAGCAGCTCCTTCTTGGATTCGGCTCTCGATAGCAGCCTTGAACTTGGAGATGTCCACCCCCAGGTGCTCTTGGAGGAATTTTTCCCCTTCCATCAGTGAGGGAAAAACTTCCTTCTCCATAGCGTCGCAGAAGGTCTGGAGGGCTTCAGCAGCCTTTTTCTCGTACTCCTCAGCCTTCTGCTGCTTCTCTTCAGCTGCTGCCTGCTTCAGCTTAGCAAGCTTTAGCTCTTCCTCGGCTACCCTTTGATCGTGCTCGGCAGCGTCCACCCTATCTTGTAGGGAATCTATCAGCTCTACAGTGAGAGTCTGATTGTGCACGAACTGAAAACAGGGGCACAAGTTAAAAAAGTAAAAAATAATAGCTGAAAGGTTGAGTTCAGAAAGAAATCAAGGCAAGGAGAATTACCTGCATCATCAGCAGTTGGTTGGACCTGGCAGGGTCAGGAACTGATCTGCTGGATTCGCCCATCCCAGCAGTGGCCTTCAGCGACCAAATCCTTGCCCTATCTACTTCGGACAGGCCAGCAAAATCGCCGAAGTAGGCTGCAGCACCTTCTCGGTTCTGACCCCATATGAGGTCCCAGATGTGGTCTGGGACTGGAATTCGGGGGCCGAGAAACCCATTTCTCCAGACTGCAGCGTCTGGAAGGAAGGGAAGGATGACGATGGAGCCTCTTTAGCTTTGGGTGGCTCAACGTCCTCCTCCTTCTCAGAAGAGTCAATTATTGTGACCTCTTCTTCTTCAGGTGTGAGGACGAAGGCCCCAACCTCTCTGGCAATGTCCGCCGTGAAACCCTCAGCACTGGGCATCACGGCGTCTCCATCCTTGTCCTCGGCGGCACTCTCTCGAGCTTCTTCCAGAACCTCTCCCTTAGGTTTGGGAGTTCTCTGATCCACCTCCATCTCGGGGGTGGCGGAGAGGCCCTTGGGGGTGATTGAGGCGGTGGCCGGGGAACCCTCGGCGATCCATTGCCTTCCTCGGGTTCCCTTATTTCAACGCCGATGGTCATCGGCCTCCGCTGAAAGTCATGCGGGCCGATGATGGCCATTCTTCGGCGCCTCTTCTGAAGCGGCTGCTCGTCCATACCCGAGTCTGAAGACTCTTCTTGTACTTGGTCTTCGGGACGAACAGGGGCTTTCCCTTCCCTGTGTCTGCTGCTCTCTTCAGACTGTAAAGGGCAGGCAGGGGGAAGAATGTGAGTAAAAAAAAAAAAAGAAGAAAGACAAAGTTAAGTCTAAAGGCTCACCGAGGTCTTCAGCAAAGCCTCGTCTTCTTCAGCTGCCCTAGCCGCAGCTTCTTCAGCAACTCTGGAGGACCCTTCTCCACCTTCACAAGCTTCAATAACCCGTGCAACCTCTTCGGCTGTACGGGCAGCTTCAGCTTCTTCTTCCAGCAGCTGAAACAAGGGATCTCTCTTCTTCCACCAAGGCTTCTGCCTCTGATACAGAGCAACAGCCTCAATTTGGAAGTGGGAAGAGTCTAGGTGAACCTCTCGGCGCCTTGGTTCAGTGATAGGGGGAGCCCAATCAGTTACGACTCGTTCTCGGTTGACGCCAAGGCGAGCGTAATCAATGCCGACGTTGGTCTCGTCCCGTTCTGAAAAAGAAAAGGGGAGAAGTCAATTCAGTTAGTTCGGCACATCACAAGAAAGCAAAATGAAAGAAGAAAAGAGATAATTAAAAGGCCTCGGCCCCAGCCGAAGAAGATTACCATCCCTAAACTTTCGGCTGAGGCCGACAGCTGCCAGCATATTCTCTTGGAAAACATAGTGCGTATCGGGGAGCCAAGTCTCCGGGATATGCTGCATTCGGCCGCTGCCTCCCCGGTTCGGCAGCTTGCCGAAGATGTTCTGCTGATTAAGGTTCGGGTCTGGCCCGCTATCTTCGGGAGGACCTAAACTTCCCATATCAGGATCCGGCTCGGCAAGATACCGGGGAGCGCTGAAAACGTAAGGGTGGCTCGGCTCCGTGGGTGCCCTAACCCAAATCCATTGACCTCTCCAGTCCTTGTCTGAAGAGTCGTTCGGCCACATGGTTAGGAACGGGGGCCGAGACTCAATCCGATACCACCCAGAGCCATGGCATCCGTGCCCACTTTGAATGTTTGGCACTAGCCGATGGAGCCTTTTGAAGCAATGCAGGTTCGGCACGTACCTGAAGAATTTGCAGACCCATAAGTACGTCATTACCCTTCGGATGCTGGTGGGGGTCAGCTGGCACAGGGAAATGTTGTAATGGATCAGCAAGTCTCGGACGAATACGTCCAAAGGGAACCTCAGCCCGTACTGGAGTTGTCTTGTGTACACCCCCACATACCCCGGGGGTGGACGGTGGATTCTATCGGAGGCCGTGGGCATTCGGCACCAATACCCATCGGCTTCAAGGATGCCGTAATGCAACTCAATTTGCTCGGCAAACCGGTACTGATCAGCATTCTCCACCCACCATGAGTAGGGGCGGTTCTTTATCATGGCCGAAGCTACTTCGGCATCCTCCCACTCTGAAAACCCTGGGAGGATATCCCAAAGGACAGCGGGAACTTCATCATCCCGTCCTGAAGCGCTCACCCCCTCAGCCCTCTGAGGAGGAGCCGAAGAAATGGGAGTCGCCCTAACCCCTTCAGCAGGGTCAGACTCTGTCCTTCGTCCATTCCAGGTCCCAATCCTGTCCCTGGGATCGGGGATTAGCCTTGCTCTTCTTGGAGCACGGGCTCCACCTCTAACTCCCCTCACCATTGACGAATTTCGAAGGAAAAAGTCGAAAAAGGGGAAAGAGTGCAAAGTCGAAGAAAAATGAAATAAAATCAAAGGAATTTACCTTGATCTGAAGCAAAAGCCGCCGATTTACGAATTGGTAGTGACAAGTCTCAGCTTCTAAGCTTAATGCTCGGGGAATTTGCGAAGTTTTGATGCGGGCTCTTGAGCGTTCTTGAGAATTCTAGGTTTGTGTTGATGAATGAGTGGGGAGAGAAGACGCGCCTCTATTTATATCTCCAGAAATGGGAATTCAAGGAGTCTGCGTTTCAATTTCTCTCAAGCACCCCACTAAGTAACCGTTAAACACACGACCTTGCAGTTAAATCGCCCACTACCCGTCCAACTTCCGCAATTATCCACATTAACTGTTGTTATCTCATTAATCATGGGTTAATTATGGTTTAAATTCACATTTTTGGATTAACAAATCATTCACTTCCCTCCTTTTCTGATTAAATCAAACCCGACCCGTCATCCTTCCAAATCGGGTCTGGGGGGCAAGTTGTTTGGGTCCAATTTAGTCCAATTGGGCCTGGTCACTGAATGATCCAATTAAAAGCCCAAGGTTAAGGTTCAACTCTCCAAATGTGCTAAAGTCAAAAATCAACATCCTCAAAGCCATGTCAAGGTCAGTCAACGGCCCAATCAGCTTGGCCCAGCCCAACTGACTTCCGGGCCCAATCCGCCTCCTTCATTAGCCAAGGTATAAAAGCCAACAATTTGGTCAATTCTTGGTAAGACAATAAAGCCTCAAGCAACTAAACTCTTGCACAGCTTTCTCTCTCTAATATACTGACTTAAGCATCGGAGGGGCCTTCCTCGGCGTCCCCCCCGAGGCTAGTTTACGTGTATTTGTTGTGCAGGAAACCCTCGGCTCCTGCGTCGTTCGGACCGAGACCAAGTTCCCTCAAGATAAAAGGATCTTCCGAGATTCGATTGTTTTCATCCGAAACACAAGTTTTATTAATCTCAGAGAGACTACGATCATTATACCACCAATCCTTAATAAAAGTGACGATATCGGGCCCGACAATATGCCAAAATATTTGATAAAAAAGAGCGTGCATACCGTCAATCCCAGGCGCCTTGTTTGGATGCATTTGTGATAGAGCGACAAAAATCTCCTCCGCTGTTGGCTCTCCCAGTAAACACTGGTTCATAGTATTAGTAACAAGGCACTCTACCCCTTCTAACGCATCATCAAAATTCATAGGGATAGAGGACGAGAAAATATCCGAAAAATAATCTGTAATGATTTTTTTCAAGTCAAGCTCATCCTCAAACAACTCACCATTATCGTCCTCCAGGTGTTTAATATGATTTCTCCGTTGTCTGTAACTCGCCTTATGGTGAAAATATGATGTGTTCTTGTCTCCATCTTTCAATTCATTCGCTCGAGCCCTTGCATGCCAGAATGATTCCTCGAACCTATGGAGTTCGTCCAACTCTGCCACAATTTCCTTACACTTATTTAACATAGTAGCATCAGCCTCTTTTTTCTGCCATTACCCTAGCTCCTCCTCCTTCTCAATTATTCTCCTCTTCGTATCACCAAAGGCTGTGGCAGCCCATGTGGCTAAGGATGTTCCACACCTGGTGATCCTTGCACTAACCCCGATCCCAGCACTCTCCGTCCATGCAGTCTTGACAACCGCCTGACATTCGGGTTTTGCCAACCACATGGCTTCAAAATGGAACCTCTTATTCACTTTTCTACGCCTATTATTCCCCTCCGTTTGGAGTAAAATAGGTGCATGATCAGATAAATATAAAGGGAAATGCCTAACAGAGAATTGAGGGAACATATTACACCATTCATCACACCCCAAAAAACGATCAAGCCTCTCTCTTATTACACACAGCAGGTCCGTGCCTCTCTGCCAAGTAAACTTGTTTCCCCTATACCCCAGGTCATTTAAAGCACACACTTCCACCGCATCACGAAACAGATCAATGTCCCTCTCACTTCGAATAGCCCCACCATACTTTTCATCCTCGGACAAGATTTCGTTAAAGTCACCAAAAAATATTATGGGAGTATGAATAGTATCTCTTAATGACTTCATGAGCTCAAAGGTCTGATGTTTGTTCTCCCTTTCAGGCCATCCATACACCCCCACCGCTGCATAAATAGGAACACCACTAGCATTTCTAATTTCCACAGCCACATGATGAAAAGAGTAGGAAATCACATGTGCGTTTATATCCCTCCACCACAGTCCTAAACCTCCAGAATTGCCATTACTACTAACACACAATCCCTCCAAAAAACCACATCTATTACGAGTAATCTCAAGTCTACTACTATCGATCATTGTCTCCATTACAAAGACAATATTTGGGCGCTCCCTCCAACACCAAGATTGGAGTTTTTGAACTTTCCGGGTATTGCCCAATCCCCGGCAGTTCCAACTTAACGTTTTCATTGTTGTTCGCGGGGTTGGTTGTAACCAACTCCCGCTACTTCATTGTTACTCACATTACCATCCACACGAGCTTTTTTGTTTCCAACCACACCCCCATCCTCTCCATCCCCACTAATATCCTTCCTCTTCTTATCCCCAACCTCCCTGCTCCCTGCCAATATCACCCCTACCTCATCTGTTTTGAGTTTCACTCCCTTTTTTGCCAGTTTTTTCCCTCCCTTCCCACCTGCTTTAAAAATAAAGGGCGAGACTCCCACTTCCACCGAATCATTGGTTCCCTATTCACTCCCTTCACCGTACCCCACCTCCATATCCACCCCTTCACAAGCAGCAAGCTGATTAGTTTGCATATTCATCTCAAGGTTGGACCCCTTTCCCTGCACACCCTCACAACACCTCACACCATCTCCACTTCCTACTAAATCCTCACTCCGCTCCTCCATCGTACTCTTCAGCATCAACTCCTTTTCCCTGCCATCATGCTTCTCTTCCCCAGGCCCTGCTTTTTTGTTTACAAACAGAACTCTTCTACAAGCCTTCACTTCTTCCAATTCTTCTATAAGTTTTTGCCTTCCCTTTCTGGGAGTAGCTCTCAGACGCAAGCTCCACCCAAGCCCCTGAGTTTGCTCTTCCTCTGTAACATTAATGCAATCCTTCTCACTGTGCCCAATGAGACCACACATCAAGCAAAAGAAAGGCAATCGCTCATATTTTATTCCCACCTTAATCACCCTTCCGTCCCTCCCTTTCATGTTCAGGAAACGCTGTAGAGGTTTTGTAATATCAAGGTTGATTTTAACCCTTGTGTATTTATCAAGGCCTAGGTCATCGTCCTCAATCTCCAATAATTCCCCCATGGACGTTGTTAACGCCTTGACAATAGAATTAGAACGTCTGTTAAACGGAAGATTCTCTAATCTAATCCAGAAGGGAGACTGGGTCAACACCATATCTGTCGGTTGTTCATCCCCTGACACCTCTTGAAGCAGCAGGAGGCTATTTTCGAAGCACCATGGCCGTCCTGCCAATACTTTCTCTCGATCCTTCCAATGGAAAAATTGGAAGGCGAATAGATTAACCCCAATTACACGAATCACCATTCGTTTTGATACAGACCAAGCATGAGTCATAGTCCGCTTAAACGCTTCGAGATTAATTGTTCGATCGGAAATTAATTTCCCTACCAGCATTAGGGAAACCCGTTCGTCGGAATCCGCGTCATCCACATCTCCTACGTCCACAATTTCTCTTTCCAAATCGCTAATTCGCAAATTTGCGCATTGATTGATTAGGTCGTCGGCCATAATTGGCCGGAGAAAAGCCTTTCTTTCGCAGTAGCTCACACCTTTCTTTCGAGGAAGCTCTCGCCCTTTCTTTCGAGGGAGTTTACTTTAACAAACATACAAATGTCATAGTGTAAGTATGTACTTGGAATGTAAATTTTTTACAGTTGGGTGTATATTTGTTTTGTTGACATTGGTTTTAGTATACATATTGTGTTAGGACATGTTCTCTTCAACTTAATTTCACCTTCGTTTAGTTCAGCTTCAGTTCATTTCAGTTTCTAATTTTCTTCTCTCATAAACAATTCAGTCCCACTCAGTTCAGTTCAGTTCAGTTCAATTCAATTCAGTAAATCAGAATAGACCCTTAGTATCTTTTGTGGAGTACATCAATTGTTTTTTTTTTAAATGGTACACTTTCAACGAAGAGTTTACGAAGACTGAATTAAATTTACATCAACTAAAACAAGTGGGGTTACTGGACAAAAAAAAAAAAAAAATTGTAAGAATAATAAACTTTACTCATGTGGCTTGAAATTTTAAGCAATTACAACATATGATAATAAATTAATCTATTGACCAGTGTAAAGCATGGATTGTATAAAGTAATACAATTAGCTTTAAGGGTGTCTATTCGGTTTCGGTTAGGATTTAGGCCAAATCCAATCCGATCCGAATTAAAATTCGATTTTTGATTTTCAAGTCCAATCCGATCCGAATTTCTTATCAATTCAATCCGATCCAATCCAAATTATAATTTGGTTATTTGGATCAGATTCAAAAATCCAAATTAAAATACATTGCAAATAATTAGAGCGTAAAAAGATTATAAAAATAAAAAGTAATTACAAAAATTTTATTCTTGAAAACATAGTTGTACAAGATTAATACAAGTATTGAAAACATAGTAATAAATAATTAATATTGATGTAATTATTAACATAATTTTACATGATTAATTTAAACAATCCTCATTTGTAAAAAGCATGGTTTTATATTTCGATTAATTCCTTTTTTTGGATCCAAACAAGGTCAATCCGATCCGATCCGATCCGAAAATCCGTATTTTTAAAAATTCCAATTTGATCTTATCCGATTTAATTAATAATTCGGTTTGGATTGGATTGAATTGGATTTCGGATTACGGTTTTTATCCGAATAATGGGCACCCCTAATTAGCTTATTTCATAATTATGTAATTTTCTATGAGAAAAGTAAAGAATTAATTGACCAATTTGGTTTAAAAAAAGAAAGAGAGAGAGACCGTTCACGACAATTTGGTAAAAAAAAAAAATCACTCCGACGATAATTTGGTAAAAAAAATTAACATAATGCGACAATTTGGTATTAAAAACAGGCGACATTTAGACCCAAAAATCTGTTTTTTTGCGGCAAACTCTTCAAAAGTCTTAATTAAATTATTTTGTGCTTTTTGAAATTTATTTTTTTACATTTAAAATTTAAATTATTATGTCATCTCCTTTTTATTTTGCTAAATTTTAAATTACATAAATTTATTTGCAACCCTTTTTAAACAAAAATGTTAATAATGGGAAGGAAAATTAATATTTAACTAGATTAGGCTCCTGCGATGCACGATTTTAACAATATTTTTTGTGCTTACTTGTGTTTAATATGTACGTAGTACAAATAATTTAAGCAAAATCTAATAAATTGATTAATTAATAAAGAGTGGAAGCCTCAATTCATATAATCTGTATAAAATATACGAAGTAGGAGAAAGTTATAATGTTTATAAGAAAATAAAACAGTCCAACCTTCCTTTAATTTCTCCAATGGAATTTGCATAATTAGTCATTTTAAATATAAAATCTGCTAGGATACAAAATAATTAATTCACCATTTTCAAACTTTTTATTTTTGTTGAAAAAAAAATAATGTCATTATTAGTTTTGGTGGGAAAACTTTTTTATAAGAGCTTGACATATGTATAGTAATGACATAAGCGGTAATTATTTTAGATATATTTATATATTTTTTTTTCTTCTTCAAATTTTTATTTCCTTATAAAGGTTTGGAAATTTAGGTAGAAAATTATTTTTTTTTTTACAAAAAAAATAATAATAAAACCACGAAAACGATGGCAAATGCAAGTAGTATGTTGGAAATTTTGTATTTTAAGCTTAATTGTCGCCTAAGATTGTTTTTTTTTTTAACCAAATTGTCGTTTGAGGTTAGGTTTTTTTTTACCAATTTATCGTTAAGGTTTTTTTTTTTTTTTTTTTTTTTTTTTTTTTTTTTTTTTACCAACCTGGTCAATTGGCCATTAAGGAGATTAAAGTTAAACATATTTTCTTTTGGTCGTGTAATGCATAGATTGAATCAACTAGCCTATTGGCATATGCACGAATTGTTTCATGTATGCAAGGGTGAAGGTAGGTCGTTGGGTTTCGTACCCGACTAATAATTGTGACCGTCTGACTGGATTTCTAACAAAGAGAGTTGATAGAACGAGTTTGATTTATTAAATTTTTACGTCGAGATATAAACATAATACTAGATGCATATACAAAGTATATAAAAAAAATGAATAGTAATAACTTTGATGTCTTTGGTATTGGATATAAACTTTTTTTTTAAAAAAAAAGTAGGGCAGCTAACGTGCACGCTGTACATGTCATAGCTAGCCATATTCGAAATTTTTTTCGGTTTGACCTTAAACCATAAATTTTGTTGTTGATATAACAACTAGTCAACTATGTTTAGGGGTATAATTGTCCAAGACAACTAAGTTTTTTTTTTTAAAAGACACCAAGGCTACTAACATTTATGATAGAAAATAAGTGAATAAATATATTTGAGGATATAATTGTCCAAACATTTTTCATTAGTAATAACTTATACGAAGTACATATTAATTAGGGTATAAATGTAAATACACTTTTTGAAAGGTAAATTTGGCATCACGCTATTCATAAGAGTAATGTTATATAGTACTTTTTATAAGGTAGAGAAAAAAAAAAGGCTATTGGATATAGATTAAAGTTTAGTTATTTTTGTTTAAAAATAACGTTTTTTTTTTTTTGTTAATACCTCATAAAAAATATAATTCGATATAAAATTAAAGATAATTGTGTATGGTACAGGACTTTAGCTAGTGATAATTAAATTAATAGCAATATTTGTGAAAGAAATGGCATCTCTCTCTTTCACTCCTTTATTAAGTTATTGAATTTACTAGGGATGACCATTATTCGGATAAAAATCTAAATTCAATCCAAATAGAATTATTAATTCGAGTTGGATCCAAATTTTAATTCCATCAGATCGAATTGGAATATTTTAAAAATTCGGATTTTGGGATCATATCGATTTGACCTTGTTTGGATCTAAAAAATCGAATTAACCAACATATGAAACCATACTTTTACAAATAATGATTGTTTATGTTAATCATGTAAAATTATGTTGATAATTACCTTATAACTACCTTAATGTAAATTATGCAAAACTATGTTTTCAATATTTGTATTAATCAATATTGTACAACTTTATAATTGCATGTATTTTGTTTTCAATAGAATACTGTACACTTTAGGCCCTATAATTTTGCAATGTATTTTGTATTTTAATTAATTCGGATTTTCAGATAAG